GAGAGAGAGACGAGAGAGAGAGAGAGAGAGAGAGAGAGAGAGAGAGAGAGAGAGAGAGAGAGAGAGAGAAGAGAGAGAGAGAGAGACCTTAGGTTTGAAGTCTTCTCCACCTGCCATCACCCCTGGCTTCTTATTGTGATTCTAATTCAAGTCCTGAAAGATGGCTAATTGGAACCAAATTCTCCCTGTGAAAACCAAGGAAAAAGAGCATGCAAAATAAACTACATGAAATTGAAGAGAGAGAGAGAGACCATTGGAAGTTAGAGAGAGAGAAGAAAGAGAATGAGGTAATGAGTGCTGCAAAGAGAGAGAGAAAATGAACTGAAGGATGAGAGAGAAAATGAAGTAAGGAAAGTGAAGCTTGGTATGGAGTACAGAGAGTTCAGGGGGTTTATATACCCAGTTGCTTTGAGGTGGGTCCCACCTCTATGTTCCCCACCGCTGTCAATGCAGCAATTCTTTTCACAAAATTCTGGTAATACCGTCCCCTGCCCATTCTCTATGCAGGGTACTTTCTCGTTTTAATATAGGAAAATGTTTATATAGAGCCGAGGCTCTAAACAATCGAATTAGAGCCCACCTCAAAAATTTCACTACAAGAGGTTGTTTTGATGCTCAAGTATCCTCAAATTGATCATCTCGCCATCAAGATGCATGGACATGTGAAAAAATAGCCTAAAGTTTTTATACTCCCGCGGGGACATAGCTTACATTCACTGCCTTGGTTAAAAGTTAGTGGAAGAGTATGTTTAGCACTGCCTTGGTTAAAAGTTAGTGGAAGAGTATGTTTAGCACCTAAAATTGGGATGTAACAACCTAGAAAAATAAAAAATAAAAAATAAAAAAACATAACATAGACACCCTGCACAGACTCGAAAAAATAATATCTTAAGATTGAGATCTAAGTGTTTAGGATCTGGAAATCTTTTTTATTTGATCAAAACTATGCATCTCTGAATCTAAGTGGATTGGGCCGTCAAAGACTTTAGGAACTCAAAATTTTTCCAAGTATTAAAAAATTGATGCTAAAATAGATCCCAAGATCTTAGATCGAGAAATCCTCCTACGTGGGTCTTTTGCCAGAAGGAGTATCTGTATAGTGCGGTCATGCGGTACATCCAGTAATCCAAATTGACATTTTATATTAAACTTATGTGCTCCCTCCCCACCTTCCCTTTTCCCCTAATTCTCATTTAAATTTTGCATTGAAATCCAATAGACTTCTACTCTCTCTATGATGCAAATTGAGAATTTCTTATGATATCAGACCAACCTTGCCATATTAAGTGGACATAATTATTGATCAAATTGACACCCATTTTTAATCTTGTTAAAATTAATTTCAAGGGAATTAATAGTGGTTATACCCATTTTTTAATCTTGTTGATATTAATTTTAAGGGAATTAATAGTGGTTATTACGAAGAGGCGGGTTAATACTAATATTTTATATTGCTTGTTCATCGATGTTCTTCAGAGGCCTTTGAGCACTACGCTCAAAGATGCTGTGACCCCGAACATTTGCTTTACTCGTGTCACTAAATAAGGAAAAGTATAATTATAAACAATTTAATTATTTTGGAGGAATATTTCTTTCATGAAAACTATTATTTTTACAGAAGAAACACATTAATCACGAGGAGTTTAATGGCTTTCTCAAGAAAATAGGCGATGTAATGAATGGTTGTGATGTTTCCTTTGGTGGATATCAACCATAGGATTACCAGGTGTCTTGCAATTTGGCAAAGGCCTTATTCAGTTGTGCTCATTGAGAATATTCATTTTAGAAGAATTAGCCTGTAAGCATTTTCTATTCATTAAAAATTGTACTTTCTTTCTTGGTAAATTCCAATTTTATACTTTTCGTTTTTGGTTAAGCTGAAAATTTGTAATTTTGCATCTTTGGATTGCAACTCATTCATTTACTAATCATCTAACTTAAAATTTTAAGGAGTAATATTAACCACCTTTGCTCCCTTTCACAAAGGATAAAAGTGGGCAAAAATTGGAAAAAAAAGAAAAAAAATAGTCAAGTCCGGATCCTAATTAATTTTTGTTTTGTTAATTTCTTAAGTTCGACCCACCTTAAGTTCAAAAAGAAAAGAAAGAAAAACAATAAGAAGAAAAGTTCAAATATTCTATTTATCTTTTGTAAAAGTTCAAATATTCTATTTATCTTTTGTACATAGAGGTCACAATAATTATTGTCCTTTGAATTTCAAAAGGGGTAGTTAAAAGAGTGTCACTGAATAAACACAGAGTTCGATTTTTTTTTTTTCGGACTTTTTGACTTACTCCAAGCCATCCAATTTGACTTCTGGTGAGTGAGAATAATTGTGACCTTCATATACAAAAGATAAGTGGTTTCTTTGTAGACAATCCTATATAAATACCCTAAAAAACTCAAGACCCCAGTAAAATGTTCCCGGTGTTTTATCACAAATTAGGAAAAAGGAAAGAGAAATAGACATCTCAACATAAATCTTCCATTTATTATTTTAATTTTAAAGGAAAGAGAAATATATATCTCAACGTAAATCCTCCATTTATTATTTTAATTTTATATGCTACTTTATGTTTTTTTTTTTTTTTGTGTAATTCAATGGGGAAGATAGGCCCTACCTGTTTTTTCAATGAATTATGGAGTTAGTTTTTTTGAAGATGTCAGTGGGTGGTGTTAGCAGGATTGAAAACCACAACGTGATAACTAGTTACGGGGGTGCTACCAGCAAGACTCAGCCTCGATGCTACTTTGTGTTTCCAAGTTAAAAATTACACCCAAAATTATACTAGCCAAACTCAGTAACGTTTTAAATAAGGTAAGGTAGTTAAAGTCTCTCTTTTTTTTGTTCTCCCAATTGTTGACAAGGAATTAAAATGAGAGAAACAATTCTTAGGGCTATTCAACAATGTTTATCTTGCTTTAATGCCCTTCACAAAACTTTTGCTAAATGGGCAAGTTCCCAAAAGCAAGGGCAACTTCCATCCTCTTCCTATTTGTATTTCTTTTATACCAGCTTTAAGGACTCAGCCTTTAGCTTTGTGGAGTGGTGTGTTTAGGGGTTCCTAGTTGGCAATGCAAATGCGCGTTGCCCTAGATTACTTATTGCACAAGACTACATGAGTATTTCCTGGACATTTTCTTTTGTCCTTTGAAGAAAAGGTATTTTGTAAAAGCGCCTATACTATGTTCTTGCTCCCTCAGGTAAAAGATCTTGGGAAGATTTTTTTAATTTTAAATTTGGGTGAAGTTTTTATAAGGCCTAGACTTTATGAAAACAAAATAAAGTCTCGCCTCAAATCCTTGTTTGGAAAGTACTTTCAGCCTTGTAAATCTCTCTGACAGTTTTAAAATCAATTTTCAACACTAACAATAAAATTTGAAGTGAAAAAAATAGCATAGATCTTGCATACCTGCGAACATTTAATTTTAAGGCTAAATGGACGGTCTAGATAATTTGTTATAATATATACTTTTTTTAGAGCTTAAAATCTTAATTTTTTCACAACCATAATGTTCAAGCGGAGATGATCGATATGAAGGTTTTTCAATGCTTAAATTGCAACTTCCAATCCGTAATGAGGTGAGGCTTTATTTATTTTGATAGCGCTGCAACCCTATTTAATCATTTTCCTTTAAATTTTGAGAACCACCTAATAATTACTAAATGATTATTTCAAAAAGAAAAAAAAATTAAATTTCAAGTTTTCTAACACTTAGATTTGACCTTCAAAAAAGTAGATGATGTATGTTCAATCTTGAGCCATTATTTTTTTCAAGTGAGAAAGTGACTTGGAAATTTCTTTCTTTGAAGTTAGCATATGGGTTGAAGATGTTTTATTGCTGAAATTTGGAGTTCTGAAATTACCCCTTATATTATTTTACACAACGGAGTAAATAGAAAGTATGCTCCCTGAAGAGCATAAAGTCCTTTGACATTTTATAAAGCGGTGCCAGAAACATGCAAGTCAATTATTTCCACCTTAATGGCCAGATATACTTGGATGTGCTAGATTTACGCTATTTCTGAAGTTTCAAGGTATAAATGAGTTATGAGG